GGATTCATTTATCCACTCAGTCAACCCAGTCATCTGCTGACCATCTTACCCCTTAAACCAGTGATTGTATCTTAGAAGTAGAAGCCTTTCAAACTTCTGGTCAGAAAGTCTGTTCCTCTTTGGAGTGAAGACAAGCTTCCCTAAGCTAAACAGTCTTTCCACAGGGGCACTAGATGGAGTGGCTGCATTGTATTTGAGTGAAATTTTCTTTACAAGTGGAAATCCATTAAGACTGTCCATCCCTTGTGCTCCTGATTTGAAATAATCAGCAACTTGGCTTTCAGCAGTAGCAGAGGTGTCATCCTCATCCTCAAAGGAGAAGAACTCATCCTCCATGGCTGACTCAGTGCATGCTGGTGTGATGGTAGTACCTGTTCGCTGGTCTTCATTTTGAGCACTTTTCCGGCACTCTGCTAGCAGACTTGCCTTGGCCTTGTCCTTCCTGTCCTGCATCCGCAGCCAACGTAGTTTAAACTTGGGCAGAGTCACAGCAGCCAAGACGGCATTCTCACTTTCCAGCACCTCTGCAAATCTTGTTTTGATAGCCTGCAATGATATACAAAGTAAATATTATACTGACTATCCATACACACACACACACAGCATTACACATTGTAAGTTTACAAATATATTTAATTTTACATTGTATCTTTTCATTATGTGTTTAAAAATATATATTAGTTCTTACTGTAACAATTGCCTCTGGAAGGTCAACGAGGATTTGCAGACCACTCTTCAGGTCCAGGGTCTCCAACATTAATGTCTCCAGTGTGGGTAGGAGTGTGCCATGGAAACAGTTGTCTTCTCCCTGAAGTATGTCTAAGGCTACTGTTAGTGGCTTCATTACCATACAGTATTCCTTGAGGAACTGATGCTCCCGTTCTGTGATGGCTTTCAAAACAAACTCGGAAGAGATGGTGTTCAGTGCAACTATAGGGATCTCACAGATGCGAGCAAGGGCATCATAAAACGAGTTCCATTTTGTACTGCAAGGGACTAGCAGCTTCCTTGCGATTACATCATCAACAGTCTCTGCAGCCACAGTTGAACGGCTAGCCTTGTTCCATAAAGCTGTGCATTTGGTTGTAGCACTCCTGTATATTGCTTTTGTTTCTGGTCTTGACAGTATCCACTTGTCAACATCAGTACATGAAACAAGGTTTAAAGTGTGTGATGCACATCTCTGATGTGGTGGCAAAGTAATTACATCATCATTATCATCATCACCAACACTGTTTTGCAAGACATCATTAATGTTCACAAATGTCACCTCATCTTCATCATCATCAGACTCATCATCCTCCACAGGCTGGTACTTCTTGAAGGCTTTGACAAAATTAGAGCCATTATCCGTGACAGTTGATGTTATTTTGTGGGTTATGCCATAGAATGAGTGAATGTTGTCAAGCTCAGTTGCAATACTGTCATGTGTATGACGACCTTTAAATCGTCTGCATGCCAGGGCTGCTTTTCTTCGTTCCATGCTTTGTGGATGTATCCAGGGGCAGTTACGCCAAGATAACTTTTATTATGTGCAGTCCAAATGTCTGCAGTAGTAGAGAAATATTCTAATTCTTCAAATCCAGTCTTCAGCTCGGCATTCATTTTAGCGTACTCAGCATCTATGTATTTAGAAAATGTCTTTCTGCATGGAGGACCGACGCCTGCTCTCCCCGGTATTTTGCCAATAAGGGTTCTTCTGAATGAGTCTGAGTCAACTGTTGATAATGGGAGCATGTTTTCAACAACATACCTGCCTATCAATCGGTTTAGTTCATTCTGCGTCACAAGTTTCTGTGAAGCTGGAGCAAAAAAATCCACCTTTAACTGCTTGGACGGCGTAGCTCCGCGTTCTTCTTCGTTAGCAGAGCTCACGTTAGCCACACCTGGTCTGCTATCATCATCAGTACTGTCAACAGCAGTGTTTTTAGCCACGAGTTTTGTTGAACCATGTGCAGTTGTGAGATGCTTCATCAGATTAGAGTTGCTTACGACGGACGTAGACAAACACTTCGCTCCGGGACATAATGTACACTTCACACTCACGTTCTTGCCTTTTACCTCAAGGAGAGTAAAGTAGTGTCTGTATTTCCACTTTGAAAACGCCAGCTTTCCCTCCGGACTCGCCATTGCTGCAGGACTTCTGCTAACTTTTCAGATTTGGAGCTGCAGCGTGTGGTTTGCGAGTGAACTGAACAACAAAACCTCTGATTGGCTTACCTCTCTTTACCTGTTACTCTACCTTAGCCAATCATCATCATCCTTTATATGATTGTTTCACCCCTCCCTCCTACCCTCACCAAGGAAAAAAAGTAAACAAACAGCTTACGACAAAATAACGTACCCCATTTAGTGGTTGTAACGGTAACGGCGTTGTAACGATAGACATAGTAACGACTTAGAGTACCCGTTAATGAAAAAAATAACGCCGTTTGTAACGCCGTTTATTTGTACTCCGTTATTCCCATCACTGGATATATAACAACTAGTAAAAGTGGCTTTTCTGATTTCCATTTTGGATGAGAAAGACTGAGGGACAGTGACTCAAAAGAATCATAATTAATAACTGATTTGGCATTAATCAATAATCCTGACTGAAAAATAGAAACTACTCCTCTACCTCGGCCAGTTGTTCTAGGAACATGAAAATTTAAATAATAATAGGAGTGGATTCATTTACACTATCAAAATCCTCCTGTTGTAGCCAGGTTTTGGTCAGACAGAATAAATCAAAATGATGATCAGTTATCAGTTCATTAACTAACTTAGATTTAAAGGAAAGATATTTGATTTTCAATAATCCACATTGAATGATTTTATGATTTTGCTCTGGTAAAGTAACTGTTTATTTTAATAAGATGTTTATGGTTTATATTTTTAGAGCTGAATTTTGGTTTATTTAATTTGAGCTGTGGGCGAGTTGACACTGTTTCAATGGGGGTGTGGGTGGATAACAGAGGAGAAGCAGCAGAGAGGGGTGGAGGACTGTAGTCCTCCACCCCTCTCTGCCACCACTCTGCTTCATGGACTGGACCCTGGGTTGACATCAATTTGGGGGATAAACAAAATCAGCCATATTTCTAAAAAGAAGAGCGGCTCCGTCCAAAGTGGGATGAATGCCATCTCTCTGCATCACACCAGGTTTTCCCCAGAAAGAACTCCAGTAATCTATGTAGCCCACGTTGTTGTCAGAACACCACCTGGACACCCAGCGGTTAAACCACGACATACGACTAAACATGTCATCGCTGGTCAGGTTGGGGAGGGGGCCAGAGAAAACTATGGAGTCCGACATGGTTTTAGAAAAATTACACACCAAAGCAACATTAACTTTAGTGACATCCGATTGGCGTAACCGGGTGTCATTAACGCTGATGTGAATAACAATCTTACCATATTTAGCCTTAGCCTTAGTCAGCAATTAAAAAAAAATATTATGTCGCCCGCTCTGGCCCCCGGAATGCATTTGACTATGGCTGCTGGAGTCCCTAAAGCCATATTTTGGACTATGGAGCTGCCAATAACCAGGGTCTGCCTCTCAGCAGGTGTGTCACTGAGCGAGGAAAATAGATTAGAAACGAGATACCTCTGTTTGTCAGACAGGCCCCCTCCATCTTGGTTTTCAAGTCCCATTTAAAAACTCACTACTATTCAGTAGCTTTCAACACCAGATGATCTGTGTTTTGATCCTGTATGCTCCACACTGGTTTGTCATCATTATCCGCATTGTTTTTATGTCTATATTCTGATTAACCTCATTTTGTATTTTGCTTTGTGTGTTACCTGTTGTTTTGTCTGTACAGCACTTTGGTTGGCTTTGTAGCTGTTTTAAGTGCTTTATAAATAAAGTGGTATGGTGTGGTATGGAACGGGTCGGTGGTGGACTGGGGGCTTAGACTTAGCACTACGCTTGCTCTGGAGCGTCACACAGCCGGACTGGGGTCCCGGCTGCTCGGGGTCTGCTGGAGGACCACTAACGGGAACTAGCCTCTGTGGTTCCACGCTGTTTAAGGGGACCTGGCTAGCTACTGGTTTTTCTACAGTGCGGAGCCGAGCTTCCAGTTCAGACAGCCTCTCCTCCAAAACTACCATAAGACTACATTTGTTACATGCATCATTACCACTAAAGGAGGCTGAGGAGTAGCTAAACATCTGACACACAGAGCAAGTGAAAACAGAGGAAGTAGGGAGAGAAGCAGCAGCCATGCTAAGCTAATGCTAGCAAGAGCTAGCAGAGCCAAATACACCAATAAAAACCGAGAAGTGTTGAAAGATGTGTTTTAAGCACTACCCAACAGTAGAAAAACAACTGTACTAAGTTTGTTTGTGAACTAGAATGAAAAACTGTGCAAAAGACAAATAAATCCAGAAAACAGAGATGACTCGAGCAAACTCGAGCTACCAACAGACAAACAGGAAGAGACACAATAGGTCTCTGACAGATTATTGTGCCTATTGTTGGCATTGCATCAAAATTTCCAGTTGATGCATTCTTTATAAACATCCAACCTTCTGCAGCTGCAATGGTTAACTACATTAGACAAAATAAGTCCTGATAAATGCTCACTAATACAGGTAGATGAATAAACAGGGTTGAGTCAGGTCCTCTGGGAGTGTTCTTTTTTGTTGAAACATTTCATCTTTTATCCAAAAGTCTTCCTCAGTCTTTTGGATAAAAGATGAAACATTTCAACAAAGAAGAACATGTCCAGAGGACTTGACACAACCTTGTTAGAAGACAAGAGAAGGTATTGAAAGGTGATACTTTTTACATCCTTAGGTCCTCCAAGCCCAGATAGAGAGCTTGGTCCGTGGAGAAGGAGACATCATGGCAAGTTGTACCCAGACAGAGGAAGCTCTGGCTGGGGAAGCATGTGTGGCAAACCTACTGGTGGAACGTGAGCTGGAGGAAAGACTGGTAGAGCTGGCTAGCCTCAGGTTACCATGCCAACCACAGGAGAATGACCAGCTGGATTTGATGATGGAGACAGATGGACTGAGGAAGTCCATACACAACTTGGGGACCATCGTTACGACCAGGTGAGAACATCACAGCATCTGGGTAAACAAAACAGTTTCTTGACTTTGACCCAACCTAATGTTCAACTTCTTCCTCAGCGCTGTGGCAAGTCAGAGTGAAGCCATGGGCCATGGTCTGGAGCAGTGCATTGTGGGACACCCTGCCTCAGTTACCATAGTAACGAGAGACAAGTCAGGGGGAGCCTGCAAAAGTGGCAATGCAATACTTTCAGCTGAGGTTTGTTCTGGCGTCATAATGAAATGGGCATAAATCTGTGGTGACAGTAGTGACAAATTAACTACCCCATGTGATCGAGCAGGTGTTCACCCCTGACGGAAGCATTGTCGATGGTGAAATAGTGGACCACAAGAATGGAACCTATGAGTTTGTGTACACAGTACCCAAAGAGGGCAACTTCTCCCTGGCTCTCCGCCTGTATGACCAACACATCAGGGGAAGTCCCTTCAGACTGACTGTCACCAGGGCCTTGGAGATGGAGGTGGGTCAAATCTGCCAGTAGAATTAATTTCTTATTTCCTGCTTTGTCAAAACTCTGAGGATAAATTAGTAAAGATCCATCCATCCATCCATCCATCCATCCATCCATCCATCCATCCATCCATCCATCCATCCATCCTCTTCTGCTTCTTCCAAAGTCGTGTCGTTGGGGCAGCAACTTGAGCAGGGAGGTCCAGACATCTCTTTTCACTGTCACCTCTTCCAGCCCTTCTGGGAGGATTCTAAGGTGTTCCCAGGCTAACTGAGAGACATAGTCTCTTCAGCATATCCTGGGTCTCTCCCGGGGTCCCTTGCCAGTCAGACATGCCTAGAGCACCTCCCTAAGAAGATGCCCAGGGAGCATCCTTACCAGATGCCTGAACCACCTCAACTGGCTCCTTTCAATGTGGAGGAGCAGTGGTTCTACTCTGAGTCTCTCCTAGATAACTGAACTTCTCACCTGATCTCTAAGGGAGAGTCCAACTACCCTGTGGAGTAAACTAATTTCAACCGCTTGTATCCACAATCTCATTCTTTTGGTCACCACCCAGAGCTAATGACCATAGGTGAGAGTAGGAACCTAGACTGATCGGTAACCATAGAGTTTTGCCTTACAGCTCAGCTCCCTCTTCACCACAACAGACTGGTATAGAGTCCACAATACTGCGGGTGCAGCACCAATCTGTATGTCAATCGCACGCTCCATTTTTCCTTTACTCTTGAACAAAACCCCAAACTACTTGAACTCCTCCACTTGAGGCAGAACCTCACCCTCGACCTGAAGAGAACAATCCACCCTTTTCTGGTTCAGCTCTATGGCTTCAGATTTGGAGGTGCCAATTTTTATCCCAGCCACTTCACACTTGGCTGTAAACCACTCCAGTGAGAGCCGAAGATCAAAGCACAGCCTGATGATGCCAACAGGACCACATCATCTGCAAAGAACAGAGATTGAATCCTGAGGCCACCGAACCAGAATCCGTCTGCCCCCTGGCTGCACTGAGAAATTCTGTCCATAAAAGTTATGAACAGAATCATGACAATGGGCAGCCCTGGTAGAGTCCAACTCCCAAACTTGAAGGGGTTCGACTTACTAATAACAACGCAAACCAAACTGTCACATTGCTTGTATAGGGACCAAACAACTCGTAACAATGGGCCCCAATCCCATACTCATGCAGAACCCCCCACAGTATACCCCAAAGAACACAGTCAAAAGCATTCTCCAACTCTACAAAACATATGTAGACTGGGTGGGCAAACTCCCATGACCCCTCGAGGACCATAGTGAAGGTAAAGAGCTGGTCTAGTGTTCCATGACCAGGACAGAACCCAAATGGTTCCTCCTGGATCTGAGGCTCAACCAACAATTGGACTCACTTCTCCAGTACCCCTGAATAGACCTTACCAGGAAGGTTAAGGGGAGTGATGTAGAGGTTGGCTCCTCTACCCCTCCCTTCTCTGTTGTTTGTGTTTTTCTAATTATCTTTCCACAGCTGCTGCTCATTACCTGGACCAGGTGAAGGAGCTATTTAAGCTGGAGCTTCACTCCAGATCAGTGCCAGAGCAAAGTTCTACCAAGCTCCATGTTCCTGTGTCTACTGGCTGGCTGACTTCAAGCTCCTTATCGGTCTCCCTGCATGACAGCAGCGTTTCTCCTACTCCACCTTTACTCCTGTGTGCCTCACCTGGTTCCTGGTTTCTCCTCACCTCCACCCCGGCTCCCTTGGTGATTTTTGTAAATACACTCGTTGATATACTCACCTGATCCCACCGTGGATTATTGGATTCGGATCCTGTCTCCTGTTCTCATGCTCCTGGAACAACAACGACAAGTAAGCTTATTTTTGGATTACTATCAGCACTTCCAAAATCTCCTCTCAAGTGGATTTGTCATTCACCACCAATCTCCTCTCTATTCCCACAGTGGATCCATCCTGAGTTTGTGTTTACCAACTACACCTGAACCAATAAATATAATTGTTTTTTTACCTCAAGTTGTTTAGTCCTTGCTTCAAACCGTTCGCCTTTGACATCACCCACAGACCCTAACAGTTTGCTCTGGCCTAAATATGTCAAAGAACGGTTTGAATGCTGATCAGGTCACCATTGAGGAGAGGGTAAGGAGAAATGAAGTTCTCTTACAGGAACTAATCACTCAACACAAGACTACACGGTCAAATCTGGAAACGGTGGGTGGAATGATTCAGTCCATCGGCAATAAAATGGGAACACTAACTCCACCCACGCCGGCCATCTCACCACCATCAGCGCCGCCAGCGCGAAGCACCGCCCGCTCGGAACAACCCCGTGAGCCGGAGATTCGGCCGGCCGCAGTTTTTGAAGGTAACTCGGAACAATTCAATGGTTTCCTCCTCCAATGTGAACTAGCATTTGCCCGTTCTCCTTCTCTGTTCCCAAACTCTGCATCCATGATCACGTATATTGTTACTTCGTTGAGAGGTGTACCTCTTAAATGGGCTCATGCCTACCTCCAGTCTCACCCTGTGGCTTCACTATCATTTAACGACTTTAAGGATTTCAAGAGTGTGTTTCATGTCCCTGTCCACCAGGAGGAGACGTCCCGCCATCTGTTGGCTATGAGGCAGGGTCAAGCTACCGTGGCTGAATACGCCATCCTCTTCCGGGTTGCGGCGGAGAAAACCAGGTGGGATGAGGTGGCACTTAAAGGAGTATTTTCTAAGTCACTTTCTGATCAAATAAAGGATCAACTGGCACTTAGAGATGAGCCGGAGACGTTGGATGACCTCATCAGTTTGGCGATCAAGATTGATAATCGCCTTCGGGAGAGGCGGGGCCAAGCGGAACCGATGGCTTCCGCGTCAACTGTTCCTCTAGCATTTTCCGCTATCAAAGAACCCATGTCACAACCAGGTACCACTCACTATGACTCCGAGCCTGAACCTATGCAGATCGGACGAACCCGACTCACGTTGCAGGAGAGGCAACGACGATTGGCAGCACGTGAATGTTTCTACTGTGGAAAGAGAGGACATTTTGTGCGATCTTGCCCAAACAAGTTAAACTCCAGCACTCACCAGCCATTCAGGGGATCCTGGTGAGTGAAGCTCGTTGTACCCCTGATTCACGTTTTTGTCTTCCTGCCAGAATTATTCTTCAACAAAGACACTATTCCATTGAGGCCCTCATTGACTCGGGAGCCGAGAAGAACCTTATTTCTCAGGATTTGGTAGATGAACTTCAAATTCCTACCAGAAGTCTTCCTTACCCCATTCCGGTGGCTGGAGTCACCGGAACAAACATCACCACTATCACCCAGGAAGTAACTGAGTTACCATTCATCATCTCCGGTGTTACGTCCACCAGGCTTGTTTGGTGGGGGTAACATTAAAGGAGGC